CAGAGACGATCACTGCTGCCCCCTCCCACCCCGGACACAACCTGTTTGAACTCCTGCCCTCTGGACGGCGTTACAGGTAACTGTGCACTAAGACAACCAGGCACAGAGACAGTTTCTTCCCCCAGACTGTCACTCTGATGAACACTTAACCCACGACAGTATGACTGGACAATAACCCTCAGTGCAATACCTGTAAATATACACTGTACAGATTTTATAGACTCGTACAGGTCTCTAGTACTCTGTTTTAAGTGCTCTATTTTTATCCCTAATTATCTAATTTCAATGAACATTCCTTTGTTGTCTGCATTGTTTACTGTCTGTTTATACTGCTTATTCTCCATTGTTTGCACTGTTTGTTGATGTTAATACTGCTATTTTGTTATATTACACAGCCTTATGCTGGTCTACCGTTTGCACATTGAGAGCTGATGTACCTGAGTCAAATTCCTCGTGTGTCCAACACACATGGCCAATAAACTGATTCTGATTCTGAAATGTCTCCCTGACACGTGCATGTGAGCCGCGCATCACCCGTTTATTCTTCAGGTCAATCTTCTCTGGCACACTGAGTGCAGCGCCATCTCCACACACTGATGTTTAAATCACCCAAGTCCCCAATTATTTTCTGTTACAAACCTTTTTTTACTGGTGTCTGTTATGATTACATACACAAGGCCTACATGAACACTACTGCTGTCCAGCACACTTCTGCTGTTGGTCAGCCTGGAGCAGACCGTCTGTCCGGCCACTGTCCTTGCAGTGCATAAGGAGCTGAGGACTGACAGGTGCTCTGATGCCAAACGTCAGACATCACATCTTGCTTTCAGTTGGCCTGCGGTTACATTGTTGAGTGAAGCACCGACCAGCGAACTGTTGAAGACTTTGCAACCACAAAAAAAAAAAAAAACCTAGATGATAACTACCACTGTAAAATAACTAGCCTATATTAATCCATTAAGTGTTTGGTCAGCTCAAAAGAGGGAACATGGATTAGGGATGAAGACAGAGCTTAGAGAGGGACAGATGAGGAGAGGAGAGGGGAGGTGAACTGTCCAGGCAGACACTAAGTTTCTCTGCAGCAATGGACTCCTCTTCATCAACATGACAAGTCCCAGCAGGCCTAGATGGATGCAACACTTAGTGGAGTCACCTATGCTTCTTTGACAAAACACTTTTACTTTGTTTCATCATGTGCTCATTACACGTCACATAGTAAAGCTGAGACTAGAAACAAGCTTGTGACAGCAAAGAGCTACACATGTTTCTCCCACAGGTGATTCTCTGACCTGGCAGGAGCTCATGGTAGCCATCAGTAGCCTCTGCTGCCTCTGGTCCGTCGTGTTGGTGGAGCTGCTGGAGGGCGGTGGCGGACTGAGGCAGGACGACACAGATCAGGTCCCCGGAGACAATGCCGCAGGACGACAGAGTCTGATCAGTGTCTGACAGAAGCTCGGAGCCGTTCAGAGACAAACTAAACTCTGTGTCTGCACTGAGAGACAAGCACACGTTCGTTTCACATCAGGGAAATTGAATGATTCCTGTAATCTAACATAACTTTAAATGTTATCATTCTCAACCAAGTGACACCTTGCAGTTTATCCTGTAATTCACTGCCAGCAGGCGTACCAAGGTTCCTTACAGATACAGTCCCACAACCACCAGAAAGAAAAAAAAAACGCACATATGCACAGAACTATGCATGAAGGATCTGGGTCCAGTGTCTGACCTGAGTGCATGAGAAGACAAGATAGTCTCCTTGATGAGATCTCTGAGTTCTTTTAAATTGGGCTCTTCTCCCAGTAGCTCCACCAGGCTGGTCTGTCGGTTGATCCGAATGCGTAGCTTCATGCTGTGGATGAAACATGATCACAGCTGTCATAGAAAGCCTAGTGATTCACCGTGTACCTAAACATCAAACAGATCAAATTCATCTGGTTTGTGTGCAGTGGCACTGCCATGTTCAAGCTGCTGCTGCTGCTGCAAAGTTGAAAGCACACAAATGTCCAAAATATCATCATGTTGTAGCATCAAGATTGCCTTCATTGGAACCGAGGGGCCTAGACACAACCATGAGAAACACCAAATTAGGTGTAAACATACTTTTGGCCTGATTCTCTTGAGGCCTGGAGCACACATAAAAACAAACCTTGATATGATTTTATTAACAAACTGGTACGAATTCTGTTCGGGTGAGTCCAGATTAGACACAGATTGGGTGGGGACATACCTTTTCCTAAAGCAGAGCATCTTTGAACATTTGTACTATTATTATGTACAAGGTTGACCTGCTAAAAGAACTATAAACAAAAACCTCGGAGTCGGACAGGGTTAATTTGTTCATTTAAACTTCAGAATTTGAAAGACACCACCGACACCTTAGCTAACTAAAAAACGCACATACGACAAGAAGAGATGAAAGAAGTCCAACGTTAGCATAAGTGAAACTTTGTTTTGGAAGAAATGAACTGTTTCGTTTTCATTTCTAACCAGAAACGTAAACGTTAGCTAACTAACGTTTTTCATTTGCTGCGCAGCAGTGGAGCCTGCTAACTTTAGATATTGTAAGATCGTTAATTTGTTTAAGCAGCGTTTCTGGTGATGAAATTGTTCAGAGCCTCCAAACGAAACACAAAACAACTTACATGATGAATTAACTCGATGACATTCAACAGTTTTCATGACAATTCTCTGATAAATCGCACTGTAAACACAAACCAGGAGCGACCACACGGCTCAACATGTCGCTTCCGGCCAAGACTTTCAAAATAAACACCCCAATTTATTTATTTATTTACAATTTGTCTGCTTAAAGAAGAAAGAAAACCTTTCAGTGGCAGAGTTACCAAACATCACCTTAAGCCAGGAAGATTTTTGTCTACATTTGTTTCTACATTTTTCATCATCCATTTATTTGACATAGCTCAGGTTTCTTTATACATTTTTAAAAGATGTTTTAAAATCTTGGCTGCCTAATCACCCAATAGTAAGGAATTGTTACAGTGTAATGTAATGTGAAGCATTAAACAGTAAGGCGCTGTTTTGTGGTTATAGGCTATCATACCACAGAAATGCAGAATGCTATTTTACTGTAAAATATTATAACACACAATGTATCACATTTTAATATATTTGTCCATCCTGTTTGTTATTTTTAAAGTTATGCTTGATCATATTCCTTTGCTTTTTACAAACCCACATTGTCATTTATATACAGTATGAACTATATTATATTTGATGTTTTATTATTATTTATTTTATTGTTGATCATATACACTATAACAATATATTGAAACTATATTGCCTTTACTTAGTAATTTATCAGCTTTTGCGCAAAAAATACATTACAGTTATTTATAATAGTTTAGGGTATTACACTACATATTTTTTACAAATTGTATTTTTTGATATTTGAAGACATTTTCTTTATTTGTAATGTTTCTTTTGCTACTATGTTATATTCAGAGGTGTTCCTAATATTCTGACCCTCTCATGTATGTCAATGGGCAGGACAAAAATATAGA